GCCTGGTGCACGAAATTCGTGCACCGGGGGTGGGGGTGTCCCTCAGCCCGGCCTGCACCCTCTCCAATCTGGGACCCCTCGGGGAATGTTCGACTACCCTCCCCTGCTGGCCTGGTCGCCCCCAATTACCCTCCCCTGCTGGCCTGGTCACCTCCAGTGGCCCTCCTCTGCCGGCCTGGTTGCCCCCAATGGCCTTCTCATGCAGGCCTGGTAGCCCCCAACTGCCCTACCCTGCCGGCCTGATCTTGCCCCTAGCTGCTCTCCTCTGCCAGCCTGATCTCGCCCCTAGCTGCCTCTGCCTTGACTCCACTACCATAGCTTTGTCCAGAAGGAAGTTGGTTGTCCAGAAGATGGCCAGTTGACCTGGTCTAATTAGCATATTACCCTTTTATTAGTATAGATATATTATATAGGATAGGATTGCTTAAATGGGGAGGGGGGGAGCCTTTTTCAGCAAGAGGAGATGCTTTTGGCAGACAAAAATACATAACCCATATATCTGGACTGATAGCCGGCCATATGCACTATACTGCCAAACCGGTTATTAAAAAATGGAACCACTTTCTTACACCTTACACCAAACAGCTGTTGCCCTTATAACCCCTCCTCAACCCCCACCTTAGGTTCAGCCTTTGCAGTTCACCCAGATTAGGTTCTGATTGGTCGGTTTCTATGCCAGTCAGCGTCAAAAGCTCCGCCTCCTAGGCAGCCATTGACTCCTCGCAGTTCACCCAGATTTGGTCTGATTGCTCAGTTTCCATGCCAGTCAACATCAAAAGCTCTGCCTCGTAGGCAGCCAATGGCTCCTCGCAGTTCACCCAGATTTGGTTCTGATTGGTCGATTTCTATGCCAGTCAGCATCAAAAGCTCCCCCTCCTAGGCAGTCATTGGCTCTTCTGGGAAATCCAGAAAAGCCCGCTGACAGCTGTCTCTATCTCCAGTCCTCATCCACAGCCTCAGTGGCAGCTGTGGATTAGGCCCTGCCTCTCTCGCTGTGCCTGCCTCACCCTGCCCGCCCACCTGCCACCCCACGCGCCCACCGGCCACCAGCCTTGCTGTGATAGGAGCCTGTGGGCCCCGGGGCAGGGACCGAGAAGTGCTCCATGTACTTCCTGGTGACTGTTTGTTTGGTCGTTTTGGTTGTTACGGCCATTGGCCTTTTATTATATAGATATCTGGTTCATTTTCAATTACATTGATTGATTGATTGATTGATTGATTGATTGAATGATTGATCAATTGATCAATTGCCAGTTAATATAGATTGCCTTTATATTCAGTCAGCCATTTTGTAAAAATTATGAACTAGCAATAATTTGGTGGAGGAAACTCACACCATACATTCTTTGGCCAAAAAAATTAAGTAGTTGTAAATACCATAAAGGACTTTGTTGTTTTGCTTTTTTTCCAAATATAAATTTGCTGTCATTTATAACTTTCCTCTTGATACATCTTCTCTCTGCACATCCTAGAAGAATAAAATAATGCTGAATTTTACCTAATAATCTTTATAATATATGTTTAAATTTACTAACAATCTAATTCTTAATTTCGTAATATGGGAGCAACAGAAATCACTGATAGTATTTATTTCTCTTTCACCTTTTCTGTGTTCTTTGAAATGTAGTATTATTTGAAATTCATATTTTTAAGCATTGAATATATTGTTTTTTTGGTTTGCATTGCGTTATTTCATGGAATTAAAAGAGTTAACTATATTAACTATAATTCTTTTATTTTGAACTATATGTAATTATCAATATTTAGCCTCTTTTGATCAATAAAAATAATAATTTTACCTGATGCAATCCAATAGAGAGGCATGTATTGCTAACATATTGACTGCTTTAAGATAATTTGTTTTTATTATTTTTTATGAGTGAATTGAATATTTCATTTTACTTATTGTTTCAATTGGTCTTAGTTGCAACCATCCAATCAATAGATATTTTTAAATATTTTATGTTTAATTTTTACTGACCATGAACCCATCTACTAAGTTTTACTTCCGCATACTGATTTGCAGTTTATTGTACTGAGTTAAAGTTTGTATTATATATATTTGCATAAGGTGCATTTTATTATATCTGTACTAGTATCTGCAGTGGTATCTTCAGCTGTATTCTCAGTGCTATTGAGCCATCAGAAAAATCACAGCATTATAAATGCCAGCAATATAGGGAACCTTTAATATTTTATTAATATTGAGGAGCATTGGACCTATATGTAGTATTAGGGCTTATATGACTCATATAGAGCAAAATATCCTATAATGTTTTGGTTTAAACATTTAAGTAGTTATTTTTCTACATAGTCATTTCATTTCACTGTAAACAGAGAAGATGGAGCAAATTTCTGGAAATATTTCAAATTTAAATGTGTAGCTTTGGATTTATCACCTTTGAAAGATCTGAAATGATAATTCCATTTATTTCTTATGAACCTCAAAAACGAAACTTGACAGGTCAGTCCTCTAAACCTGAAAAATCTCTAATAAACAGGAATGACTCAGAAGCTCTTTTTGGTTGCAGTCTCTCATATTCAGAGTTCACTTTTTCATCTTTCAGTTATCTCACGGAGCCAGTAATGATCTCGTCTTTGTTTACTCCTGGAAGTAATTTGTGTAATACAGACATCTTTTTCTGTTTATAAGGATTTTAGTCTTATGTCAATGTGTTATTTTCTCTAACAAAACTACATTATTTGGCAGGTTGGCATAGAATTGCTGTTCTTGGTAGGATTTGAAATATTATTCTCTCTCAGTAAAAGATAGCTATTTCCAGACATTGTAAAATCAGGCATTACTGCTGGCTCACAGATTTCCTCACATAATACGGTTTCTTTTGCTGTTATGAGAGCCTGCACCAAAATTCTACAGAAAGTCTGGGCCTTGTGTTTCCCCCAAATGCTGCAGCTTTGATACTCTCGTCACATTACCCTCCTCCTCAGACATCACTAAGGAGGATACTCCTATTCTTCTGTATGTTTATTTGCATTTTCTCTACTTGTCATTTTATTCTTTCAATGTGTTGACATATGGGGATTTCTTCACCTCCTTGCACAGAGTTCTAACACCTCTCCCTACTATCTTTTTGTTTTTGTTAGAAATTATGGTAGAATTTAAATGTTTATTTTACTGTTTTTTCTCCATTTTTTTCCTTTATAACTTTTTAAGTATTGTTGCAAAATGCAAGTACTTATTGCTTGTTTTTTTTCCCCAGTTATATCTCTTCCGTTAGCTTTGGATAATACTTTCAGGATTTATTTTCATTAAGAAGGACTCTACCTTTTGGAGGGTTTCTTTTATTTATTTATTTATTTTTGTTTGAAAATTTGAAAAGTCACTTTGGCTGAAATATGCATTGTACAAAAAGATAATGTTTTACCTCATCAATGCCATAAATATTATAAGGAGGGTGTTTACATATTATAGAACATTTGAGTTACATGATTTTCTTTTGATTTTATATAGAGGACATTTTTTTATAAAGACTTTTTTTGAGTTCTGATTCATTATTTTCTTCTTAAGTTCCTACAACATCTAATAATTTGTTTGGTTCAATACAACGGAATCACTTTTAGACATATTATCTTTGTTACTACCATGTAAATAAAGCATTATGGTTCATACTCTGGACCTGGTTTTTTGGTTGTTGTTTTTTTTTAGCATTGACATAGTTTTATGATAACTTCATGAAATCTATCTTTATAATAGTGTTTTTCTTTGGGATACTAGTGTCTTTTATGTCAGATGCCCAAAAATTCTATTATAGCACCATTAAAATACTTTAGAATATGTGAAACTTCTTTAAGGCCTCCTAATTTTTGTTCTCTGTGTGTGCGTACATGCGCACACACACACACACAAAGAAGCTCCCATTTTTTGTTGAGCTCAATTCCACTTATTTTGCAATTTTTTATTTGGTGGCATGAGTTTCATCATCAGTCCCAAGATTTTTGTTTTATTATTTATGTTGCGCCACCATCAATTTATAGTGTTTTGTGTTTGTTTCAACCTGGGAGTTAGTTAAATGTATTGTGTAATAAAATGCTGGTACAACTAATGCCTATTTTTTCCCATATTGCTTTAGCAAATTAAATGTTAAATGTGTGTAAATTTCTGTTGTCTGCCTCCAAAATGGGGCATTACAACTTTGGTGTTGGATTTATGAATGCTTTCTTTCAAAGCATTCTTCTCTTGTTTGCTCATAAAATGTCTTGTACTTCCTAATCATAGATTCATAAAATCATGGAGTTGGAAGGCACCTTCAAGGTTACCATGTTTCAGAGAGAATTTAAGCATATCTTCTGATGTTGAAATTCTTCCCTTGCCCAGTAATTCCATCTACACTTTTAGCATAATCCTGATCCCTAGAATCAACAGTAGTTGTCATCATTGCTTTTCTTCTCTTCCCTTCTTTTTCCCCCTCACAACTTCCTAGTATTGAAAAATAGTTCATTTCTAGCATTCTGGAAATTTAAGCAATTGCTGTTGATGATGATAATAAGAAAAAGAGGAATATGATGTTTTAGAAAAGAAAATGGAGGTGATGTCAATGGTAGTGATATTTTTTAAGTAAACCATGGAAAAGATAAAAGAGTATATACTGCTAGATATGTGTAGGATAGACAACTTAGTCAGGACTCAGAAAGGCAAGAGGCAGAACCTGAGAAGATATGAGGAAGATAACATCTACATTATCCTAGTCATAAACTTCTAACAATGCCATCATTTGAAGGAAGGAAGAGAGTAAAGTCACTCTTACATTTATTATTTCCAAAGGTAAAATAGCTTTATAAAATATAATAATAGTAAATATAGTAGTTTGCAGTATATTTCTATGCACTGTCACAGAGGAAGTCCTTGAAAAGTTCTAGTGCATGGTAGCATAAGTGGAAATTATTTCTCTTAAAAAATAGTTTTACTGAATGTAAACCTATTCATATAATCCTTCATATTGACATGATTTCAGTCTTCCAATCCTGCTTTTTCTCTACAGCATACTCATTTTCTCAATCTTGAGTTCTCAATTCACAGTGGTTTTTCAAGGACCTTATTTTTGAGGTTGGTATAAACTATATAGAATTAAAGTAATAAATTAACTGCTAGCCCATTTGCTGGGTTTCAACCCTAACAGTTCAACAAACCCAATTGGATAAGAAGACTCAGGTCAAATTTGTTATTGCCAGAATGTTAATATGCATGCTCTGGTACTATTTTTGGCAAAATATTGTTCTTAATTCTTTGTCTTCAGAAAGGTCAGCTCTTAAAGTGGTTGCTTATTAGTATACCCCAAATCACTCAATGGTATTCTCCAAATAAAAGATGTAATTTAAATAATTGTCTATCAGAACCAAATGGATTACTTATTCCAGCTGAAAAGATTCCCTGTCTACTTCAGATGGACATTTTTAGAGAATGCTGGTGGGGAGAAAAATGTGAAAGAAAGGATTGCTTCTTTTTCTTTCTCTAGTGAAAATATATAATTTATTAGTAATACCTTGAATAACTTGGTTATCATCAACTTCCATAGAGAGAACTTCAGGTGCTTTGGATTTTAAAATAGTTTTTTACTGAGCCAGATCATCTGGACAAATTCCAGGAGGACTAAAGACAAGGCTTAATTTGGTGGACAGGATTTAGAATTACCAATGGTTCTTTATATTGAAAGTGACTTAGGCATATGCAATAAGAGACTTATGCTGTTTATCCCAAAAAATACAATATTGCATTAAAACCAAAAGTTTTACAAGGTCCACTAAAAGAGTAATCTGGAATAAACCTAATAATGGTCCTAATAGGTACTTAGCAATGGCTTAAATATGTCAGATTAAGATTATTCTTTGTGATAAAAAAAACAGTTAAGAAAAACAAATCTTGCATGGAGTGCATAATTGGAGCTCTGAAATGGAAGAAATTTGGAATTTTTAAAACAAATATAGGCTAAAATATTTTTAATTTTTTGAATATTTGTTTTCTGTTGACATAAAATACTGTATGGAGTTTTATTTTATAAACTTTCTTACTATGATATGTTTCCATTAAGTCATATATGAAATTTGTGAATTAGAATTTTTCTTAAAAAGTCACCTATCAGATCAGAATGAATGGGTTCTCGAGGGCTATGAAATTACATACTGCTAATGCTATAAAAAGCAATCACCTATAACAGTTTATGTTTAGATATAGTCCCCATAGCTCAGGGAAGTAGAAAGCATATTTTCTTCCCATAGAAACTGCCATATTTTAAAATTAGGAGAAATTTTAAAATTTTAAAATTTTAAGAAAGCAGTTTTTCATTTTTAAAAAAATTGGGAAAAAAAGGGTAAAACCATAAATTATATCCCAGTATTGAACCATACTTAAAGGATCTTAATTAGAACAGGCTTATAGAACATTATATTCAGAAACAAGACTGAGGCTTTTAGGGTAACCCTTAGTCTCACAGAGCCCTTATTATGTAAATTGCACAGAAATAATAGAAAGTATGTAGAGCTAAATGGGAACTTAGAAATCATCTTTTTGTGAAGAAGAGAACTAGAAGTGGACCAACCTTAGAGTGGGAAACCTGGCAAACCTTGCAAAAGGTATAAGGCAGGAATTTATGTGAAGATATATTATGTAAGTCTTCCAGAGCTACTGTAGATTTTAGTTTAGTGGATGGGGCCTTCAAGAATTACTACAGTCAATTGTAGACTGCATGAGTTTGAAACCCAAGTCTGCCAGTTTTTAGGTGTAAAACCCTGAGCAAGTTAATCTCTCTTACCCTAAATTTTCTTATTTGTAAAATGTAGATTAAAATAGCACTTCTTAGGATTGTTGTAAGGATGAAAGTAATTAATGCTACTTAGAATTTAGCAATCAATAAATGTTCTTATTAGTGAATTTAAAAACAAGGAAGTCTTAGCAACTTAATGGGACAAATGTTGGAGGTATTTAGCAATGTCTATTATCTAGAAGCTTGTATTTTTTAATCATTAAAGGTAATATACATAAATTGAATTCTCTTGTGATGTGGAGTATTGTGTGATTTAGAGTTATTGGTTCTTATTAAAAATGTAGTTTTTCTAAGGAAACACTAAATCATGTTTCCTATAACTTCTGTATTAAGTATGTTAAAAGACCCCAATTTATGGAAAAAATGTTCATTCTTGTTAATTCAGTTGTTATTAATAATGGTAATTAATATACTGTTACTCTCAGTTAACCCAGATTTCCTGGATTATGAGCCATTAAAAGAGTTAGCTATGGAAGTCCTCAGAAGAGATGGGAAAATTCATGCAGCAGAGGGAGACTACGGTTTTTAAATCATTCATAGTAATAGAGTATAATAAAAAGAAAAGCCGAGTTTCTCACCCAATCATTATAAAATATTATACTCAATTACTAGGGAGACCAACAAATGAAATCATCACATATTTATTTAATGCTTTTACTAGGACTTGCTGGAAAATGATAATCTACTTGAAGGAATAAAACAGACATGCCAGATCCTAAATAATAACAAAAAAATAAAAATAAGGGACCATAAGTGAGTACCTGATTAATTAGTAAAGTAATTTGCAATAATTAGTGTAGGAAATCAGAAGACAAAGAGAGCTTTTAGTGTCAGATGGATGGAAATTTCCTTCAAGGAGGAAGCAGTATCTGAGCCAGGTTTTGGTTGACCAAGAGGTAAGAGATAAACAGCAAAAGGCAGCTGGAGTCAGATAGTAGAAGATAGGAGTCTTGCCAGAAGACACTGGGACTTCATTTCATAGCTGCAGACCAAAGAGGCAGATATACAGCCCACCATAGATTTTAGAGGTAGAATAGCTTCCTGTTTGTGAAGACATTTGGGAAGCCCATGACTGTTTACCAGCTATTAAGCAGCACAGGCCCTGAGAGTGGAGGGGGAGAATTAACTGTAGTCATAAACTGAAGATTGATGCTAACTTAATAGAAAAAACTGAAATCTTTAGCAGCATAAACTAGGGTGAAAGAAAATAAGTATAGTTATCTTTAAAGATTAAGTAATAATTGAGATCACCATCCTTATTATGTGTAGCAGAGACTCAGATATTTACCTCTGTTTATTAGACATTTCTTTTTCAGAAAAAAATCTAAAGGGTATGTGTGTGTGAATATATTATTTTCATTGTGAATTATTTCTGGACCCATTTATAAGAATTTTCAAAACTAAAATGCTAACAGCCTATTCATTGTTATTTTTAGAAGTTATGTTAGTGTGTTCATGCTCTTGAGGGAAATGGTTTGACACTTTTTCTTTTAAAAAACGTTGGCTTTGTATTATAACAGCGAAAATGATGCTAGAGAGCTTTTTCCCCCTATTAAGTTAGGGACAAAAATTTTTAATTCTGAGACATTGAGGGCATGTTTCTAGTTATATATGAGGTTCTAGGCTAAATTTTCATTTTGTAATATAACCTAAATTTGGTTGGTTGGTTTGTTGTTATTGTTTACCACAAGTATTTTATTGATTACCTGCAGAGTTTACTTAGGAGGATACCAAAGCTTACAAAACATATAATCCATAAACATTATTCTAGCTTATCTGCATTGATTTATTGCTGAAGTTCTATTTATTGTATGTTTAAAGTTATTTCTTACCTAGTGAGTCTCAGGATTATCTTTTAATATTAGAAATGTAATCTTGGACTAAAACTCAAAAAGTATTTTTATAAATACTAATGAGTTCAATTAGGAGTCAGTGTTCATAAATACTTACAGCACTGTTTCATTGGGACTGTAGACCTTAGTCTTTAAAAATAGAGACACTGTGGCCTTAGTCTAGTTCTTCTGAATCAGGATCTCTGAGCATGTAATCTGGGAATTTACATTTTAAAGTAGTACCTTTGGTCCTTACAGTTTTGGATTCTCTGCAATTGCCATTTATGTCATGCTTGGATCCATGTAATCTAAGATATTACATAGTTGTTGAGATAGGTGTGTGTGTGTCATGGAAGCATTGAAGTCATTTTAAATATTTAGTAATCAGATTAGCAAGTATTTCAGTAGTTTTCATAGACCTAAGTAGACAGTATTGTTTTTACAGTTAGTGTTTTATTAATTAATCTATAGAAAGTAAGGCAAATAGTTGCAGTGAGATTATTTCTTATCTTAAGAACAAATATATGTCCTTAATGCTTTTTAAAAATAGCTGGGCCCAGGCCCCACATCATACAAATTAATCAAAATACCTAAGGAATAGGCTGAATTTTGATATATTTTCAAGAGTTCCAAGTGTTTTAATGTGCAGCTGCAACTGAGCAACAGGGATTATACAAATGACCACAAAGAAGAATGATGTTGCTAATCCAAAAATTATTGATATTTGGCTTGGGAATCCATTGTACTCCAAACCACATACTAAAAGTATGACACTGTAGGATCCAAATCCTCTTTTCCCTAACTGCTTGTCTCTGACCCATTTAAAAAAAGCAAAGAAAATTAGAATCAAATTTTTTTAGCAAAGAACATTTTACTCTGGCTAATTTTAGTTCCATTTTAGAGGCAATTTCTCTTTAAGATCTCTGCTAAGCTTCACTAGGTTGAGTAAAGTACTGATTGGGCAGTTTAATTGATAAGGAATAAACTTTTGACCTTTTCATGGGGACAGATATATTTAATAAGTTGATTTTTATGATTTTTGGCACTTATAACCAACTCAAATGTAATCAAGAATTATTTTTCATTATCTATTTTGAACAAGGAAAATATTTTCTGGAGTGTGGCTATGTTCATGTAGGACATCAGAATCAATATGTTTAAAATTATATTTTAAAAAATGTTCGTAGGAACTAGGCAGCCAGATAAATTTAGTACTGTAGAAAGTGCTAAACTTAATGACATGGATTATAATATATGTTCCACAGAACTTTGATTCTTCTAATGTGAAAATTTCATCATTGTTACAGTTTATTTACATAAAACACATCCTTTGTTATACACCTTCCTTTGTCCAAACTCATTAAAGAAAGTCAGAAAGAATAATTTCAAGATCTACTTTTACATTTAAAATAAATGAGACCATATGTATAAACTCAAATTTATGATATTTTCTTATGTTTCTCTTTTAGATGTTTATTGAGAATATCAGTTTCTGCATGTGGGCAGTAGATATTGAAGGTTATATGGTTTACAGAAAGCATCTTTAAAAGATAAACACTCAAGGTAAGTAATAAATAACTATAGCCTCATAAATAATCTCATTTAAATGGTTAAGGTTGCCAGATTATAATTTGACTTGCTTACTTTTTATTACTGGCCCTGTCTGAATGACCTGACAACCACTTTTATTCGTATTCAGACACACATTTTTATGCCCTAACACTATCTTGACAGGAAGTATCAGATTTTATTTACCACAGGCAGTTGATAAAATTGGTACATTATTATGGAAGAGAGCAAATCCATTAAAAAGAATGAAGAAGTAGCTTCTATCAGCTGTGTGAGCACAACTCAGTCCATAGAGTTATACTTGAAACAATAATTAAACAAAAACTACTATTCACTGCACTTTTTAAAATGTATTCATTAATCTGTTCTTTAACCATGTTAAGAACTTGTTCTTTAACCCTCCAAAAACCCTGTCATAGTTTCAAATACAGTATTGCCTCTAAATACCAAATCTCTTGTCACTATTTCTTGTGTCCCCAAAGATTTGTCTTGAACGAGCATATCCTTTTACTTAGCATGTTCTGTTCATGCCTCCGGTAATAACATGCTTGCATTACTAGGCAAATTTTTAAAAACATTTTGGTAAAATTTTGAGTGACATATGAAGGGTACAAAATATAAATAATGTTGCACGTCAGATGGGCACAATGGAACCTTGGAGAGTACGTGGCCTGTAAATGGGGCGCCTCTGTTCAGCTCTATAATTCTTTCTCAGTGGAAATAAGAGACCAGTCAAATCATATTTTATGATTTTTTTGAACGAAACCAGAAATACAGATTTTGAAAAGTTCTAATTTTTCAATATCAGCATAACATTTGGCAGTGAAAAATCCACTTTTGCCACTGTGTGAGCCAAATAAAACAGTTTATAGCCTTTGGTAGGGGAATTTTTTTTTCCTTTTTTCTGTTTCTTTATTCTTTTAGAATGTAAGTACTTAGAATCTATTTTTTCTCCCTAATTTGTAGTTAGCAGCTTAGCGATTTTGCTAGTTTTCTGTGATGACTATTATTGTCAGAAATGACTTCTCTTGAAAATATAAATGATATAAATATTACTTATTTTTAATTCATTTGTACAGTTATATATGGTGAGTTGGTTACTTGGACAGCTATTCAGTTGTTTCCTGAATAATAATAATTACACAGTTATTTTTATAGTTTGTTCATCTCCACAGTCTAAAATGGAGCCTTCTGATTTAGGAAAAGAAAATGGAATCTTTTTTTTCTTTAATGGACCTTTTGCATAGAAAACAGAGTAAATCATTCTCCTCAGTCCATGGCACACTGTCATCACTGGTCCATACAAAGTACTTATTTATATTTTTTATTTATTTTCTTTTAAAAAAAATATGTTTTCATTGATTTTAGAGAGAGAGGAAGGGAGAAGGATAGAGAGATAGAAACATTGATAAGAAAGAAACATTGATCTACTACCTCCTGCATGCCCCCTACTGAAGATTGAGCCTGCAACCCCAGCATGTGCCCTGACCTAGAATAGGTGACCTCTTGGTTCATGGGTTGATGCTCAACCACTGAGCCACACCAGCCAGGCCTAATGTAACTGGTTTTTAGGGTCTTTTAGGATCTTTAAAATATATGAAGCAAAAAGCAGTAGAGTTGCAAAGAGAAATAGACAAATCCACAGTTATAATTAGGTATTTCAACTTTCCATTCTCAACAATTGTTCAAAAATGTAGGCAGAAATCAGTTAGTAAACAAACCTTGAACAACTATAAAATCCAACCTGACCTAATTGCCATTTATAGAACATATATTCAATAACAGCTGAATATACATTCTTTACCACTGTGGGAACATTCTCCATGATAGACCATATGCTGGGTCATAACACAAGTCCCAGTAATTGTAAAAGATTGAAGTCATCCAGAGTAGGTTCTCTGTAGAAAACAGAATTAAGTATCAAACTAAAAAGAAAATAATGTGAAAAAAAGTCCCAAATATTTGGTAATTAAGCACTATACTTCTAAATAACCTATGAGTCAATTAGAAATCATAAGGGACATTGGAAAATATTTTAAACTGAATGATAAAACACAACATATCAAAATTTGTGGAATGTATGTTAAGCAGTGCTAAGAGAGAAATTTATAATTTTAAAAGAAGGAGAAGCAAATCCATTAGTGACTAGAAACAAGGAAATAATATAAAAGCAGAAATCAGTATTTAGGAAATACCAAAAGATAGAGAAAATCAGTGAAAGCAAAAGGTGGTTGTTTGAAAATACCAATAAAATTGATAAATCTCTTGCTAGACTGATCAAGGACAGGAGAGAGAGAGAGAGAGAGAGAGAGAGAGAGAGAGAGAGAGAGAGACCATTAAAATAGCCAGTGAGGAGTCTTGATGATGACAGCCTTTAACTTCTTGAATCACCTTATTGAAATATGGCCTGGCTGCTATCCCTTATCTCTAATGGACAGGTATCATTCTCAGATCTGTCTTCTTAATCTTTTATGGGATTTCCTTTTTCTCTTCTTGTTGCTTAAACCTTTTCTTAAGGTTTTGCTTTCTCATTTTTGTGGAGCCAGCCCAGCCCTCTGGGGGATTCTTGAGAAAGGATGTATAGGAAATAATTTTTCATTCTCACTGAGCTTTACATTTCCATGAACGTTAGATCTTTTCACTTTGCCTTCATTTATGTTGCCTTAAGGTAATTAGGAATAGCTATTTAAAAATGTGTTTGCACCACCATTAAAAAATACTTTCTCTCTGCTTTATATAGTCCCTGTATCTACATGAGGAAAACATTCTGAAAAAGGCTTTCATAAGAAAGAAAATTCAAGAAGACATTGTTATTAAAAGAATCAATCCCCTTAGATAAGTTTTATTACCCAGCATTGTGTTTAGCAAAAAAAAAATATGTATTTATTTGTGTAGATTCCTTGTAAGTCACATTAAGATTTCTTTCATCACTAATATTAGCAAGATTTAGTATCAAGAAAACTTGGTGTTTCTTTTGAAATGCAATGAGGTAGATAGTCTGGTAACCTAAATGGTCAATGGGACATATGTGAGCTAGAGTAAGCTCTGGGTCCTATTGTTGTTTCATATAAATATGAATGGCTTTGCCTCATTGAGCTGCAGTAATTGGGACTACTTTACTGTGTCAAACAAAGGAGATTTTTTTCCTTGGCCAAATGGTGTGTGTGTGAAAAAAATATAGATATGTATATATTTTATATATATAACGAGCCCAGTGCATAAAATTCGTGCACGGGTAGGGTCCCTAGGCCTGGCAGGCAATCAGGGCTGATCAGGGCCAGGCCGATCAGGGCCCGAAGGCCCTGGTGGCGTCGGGAGAGGAGGTGACAGTGGCTGGGCCGGGTGCGAAAGGAACAGATGCCAGATGCTGACGCTGCCCTCAGTGCCCCACCACCCCATGGTTCCCTGCCACCCCCCTCCTTCCCTTAGTGCCATGCTGCCACTCAGGGCCTGCTGGCTGGGGGAGGGGAGGGGGAGAGGCCAGGGAAGGTTTGATCCCCAGTTTGGAACATGCAGGAGGCAGCCAATCAATGATTCTCTATCATCATTGATATTTCTATCTCTATTTCCCTCTCCGAAATCAATCAAATATATATTTTTAAAATGCAAGGTTTTTAGAGGAAGAAAGGTAGGGCAAGGGAGCTATTGACGGGGGCATTTGAGATCTTGCTCACATTTCAGATAGGATAAGGTAAGGTGGCCCTCAGGGGGTGACAGGTGAGGAGTGGCTGTGGGTGGAGCAGGGCACTGTGGGGGTGAGGAACAGGCTGTAATGACTGGGAATGTCTATGATAGTGACACTGAGTGTGTGTTAGGGCCATTGCTGGGATCATTCATCCCCAAGAGGTGTTGATTCTGGACAGGAGGAGAAACACGGAGATCAGCAGGCCTTTCTTAGCCTAGAAGGTGATGCGGGGGCAGGAGCAGGCTGCCCTGCTTCCCTACAAATGTAAACATGCAGTGTAACTGCACATGGACATCAGTCACGCAGCCAAATCAATGCCCAGCCAGCGCTGGTGGCTGTGTCCTGCCACTCTGTGGTTTAACTGCGGTGCTGTTGGCTAGTGAGGGGGACAGGGGGCGAAGCCATGCCCCCAAGCACACGTAGTATGCAAAGGGTGGGCAGGAAGCGGCGCTATTGGCCGGGGAGGCCGAAGCCACACCCCCAAGCGTACATAGTATAGGAAGGGGCAGGCAGAAAGCCAGAGGCTGGAAGTCGGAGCTGAGGTGTCCTGGCAGCACTGCATCTGCCATGGAGCTGGACAGGGAGTAGCTGTTGTTGCGACCGGCTTTGGAGTCGGAGTGGCTGCACTTCCTACACATCACCAGTGAGTCCCTGCGAGCCCGTGGCACGCCAGCCGGGCCAGGCGGGGCCTGGGGAGGCCTTTCCCTCTTGGCACCGTTCTTCCCAGGGTGGCAGAATCGGCCACTTTTTTTTCCAATTTATTTATTTTTGTTGGAAAGGAAGCTCTGAGCTTGCAGTTCCTGGGATCCCTGGACCATAGCATGCATCTCCAGGCCTCACTGCGCCCCCCCTTCCCCTCCTCCTGCATTGAGCATCTGGCCCCTAGTGGTCAGTGCACATCATAGTGACTAGTCCGCCTGTCATTCTGGTCGTTACACCGTTATGGTCGCTGGGCTTTTATTATATAGGATATCTACATATATAAAAGCCAAGCGACTGGAACACCAGAATGGCCGGAATAATCGGTTGCTTTGACATGTACTTCGGCCCTGATCGGCCCCTTTACCCCGATCAGGGGTGGGGCCGACTGGCCAACCACCCATAGCCCCTCCCCCTGGCTGGCCTGGACCCGATTGGGGCCAATCGGAGCAGGCTGGCCAGACCCCACCCGTGCATGAATTCGTGCACCAGGCCTCTGGTATTTTATATATAGCTTTTGAAGTACCCCCATCAACATTTACCAAACTTTAGAAATTAATAGTTATTCCATGAAAAAAATATGTGACAGATTATATTTGGCAAAACTGGC